GAGGTGATGCAAATGTGCACCGAGGGTCCTGATCACAACACTGCATTTCTTCAGCTGCAATTTCTTCTAATTCACATCTACACAAGAGCTATTCCTCTGTAGGGATAAAACATTTCATACAGAAATATTTGAAAAGAACTTAGTCGAGTAAAGAAGCAAACCAACATTAAAGTAGTCACAATGTGAGGTGTCAAATGCGACTCCAGCATCTGAAGGAAGCACCACAAGAAGAGCAGAGGGCCTCGCCCGTGCACGCTTTGGGGGAACAGGACAGGGCCATGCCACAGGAGGCTCTCTGTGGGACGAGACACCTGCATCTGAGACGGGAGTTGAAGGATGGTGCAGAGCGAAGGGACTTAGGGCACAGAGCGTCAGGGAGCGAGGCTCCTGCGAAAGCACAGTGGTCGGCTGATGAAGGGCCGGGCCTGAGCAGGAAGAGCCAACCAGGTAGAGACAGGTTCAGAGGACGCTCATCAGCCCTCACGAGAGATGGAGGCCAGAACACCCCCAGGGCCCAGCTGGCCGCCTGAGACAAGGACGCACAGAAAGGGGCTGGCATGAAGGAGGAGGGCCATTTTGGTTTGGACACAATGACCTGATATCCCAGGGGAACTTCCAGCGAAGACGTCTCGTAGGAAACAGATCCGAAGCCTAGGAACGGCCTGCAGGTTAAAGATCACGGGCACCACTGACAAAGGGACGGAGGGAGTAGATGAGAAGAGACTGAGGAGGGCCCAGAGCGCCCGCATGAGGACAGAAATGGGAAGAGGAGTGGGGTGAAAGACAACTCCAGTGGTTGAATTTTATCTGCCAGGGTTCAAGGTTTTGACTTCAGAACCCACATCCTGCGCCCAAGTGGTGAATCAATGGTTTTACTCACTTATGCCCTGCACATCCCCAACTTTCCAAACAGACTTTTAGCTTCTCTCTCATCTCTGAAACAACATCTATGTGAAAAAACAGCAGCACTACGTATAACGGCCAAGACTTGAAAGCATCCAAGTGCCCACTGAAAGGTGAATGGAGAAAGATGTGGTCTCTGTATACAATGGAATACTACTCAGCCATAAAAAGAATGAAATTCTGCCATTTGCAGCAACACAGATGGACCTGGAGGGCATTATGCTTAGTGAAATAAGTCAGACAAATATCGGATGATATCACTTATATGTGGAATCTAAAAAAAGACAACAAACTAGTGACTGAAGCAAAAAAGAAACAGACTCCAAGATATAGAGAACAAACTAGTGGTTACCAGTGGTGGAGGGGAGGTACAAACTACTGGGTGTAAGATAGCCTCAAGTATAATACTGTACAACATGGGGAATAGAGCCAATATTTTGTAATAACTGTAAATGGAGTTTGACTTTTAAAAGTTGTATTAAAAAACAAAGTTTTAACTAGAATAAATAAAAACAGCAGCAAAAAAAGACAATTATATACAATTAAGCTAAAAATAATCAAATATGTAAAATATGGTACCCATGGTTCAAGTGACTCAAAAACCTTTAAAACTGATTGCTGTAAAGGACCCTCCCTGGACATATTTAAAAAGAACAAAAACAAAACACCTGTCCTTTCTCCACCTCCATGTTGGAATACCTGGAAGAGATTTAGGGGCTTCAAATAAAACCTCAATCAAGCATTTCATGCCAGACTTTAATGGCCATTATGACTACCTTCCTGAGTCGGTCAAAAATCTGCAATTATCCAAACTCTAAATTAGATAATTCCTTTTAAAAGACTGGCACAGGTTAAAATATATGTAAAAAAAAATTCCTTGGAATTATGTAATTACAGCTACCGCAATAAAATTACAAGCTAAGGTTTATTAAGCATATAGCTCTGGTTTTCCTTTCTCAAAGGTCTCAAAGAATTAAGGATTTGTGGTTAACCTGGGGTGCACACTTAGAACGCAAAACTCTGTAAACAGTCAATGAGCATATGAAAAAGTGTTAACCTACCAAGCAGAGAAAGGCATGCAGATGAAAATACCATGAAAGAGTATGTTTACCTATCAAATTAGAAACTATAATCAGCGATGATGGCCAAATGTGGTGAGACCGGCTTCTGGAAAGCAATCTGGCAAACCCCACCAGGAGTCTTTGGAGTTGTACTCCGAGTTGTAAGAATCCACTGTGAGGAAGTAAGAAATGTGACCAAAGACTATCTTCCCCTCTCAGTAACAACAACGAAAATAACCAGCAGGAAAAAAGTTAAAATAATAAAAATTAGAAAATGGTACATCTGCACTAACAAATATAAAGCCATAAAACTCATCTTTACAAAAATAGTTAATAAAAATGGAAAAGCGCTCACAACAGAAGAGCTGATAGAAAAAGATACATTCAAGGTAAACAGAATTGGGGAAAATGTTTCATATATTTTTTATAACATATATACACACAGGTATATGGTATATATAAGACACTAATTATATATACTAAAATAAGACAGTGTTCATCTTTGGCGCATTATAGATGATTTAAAAATTTTTTTAGATTTTCAGTATTTCTCTTTTTAAAAAATGATAACTAGGTCTTACTTTTATAATAAAGAAAAAAATGCGTGACTGGAAAAACACTTCCAAGACTTGAGGAAAACTCAAAGGCGCTGGCCCTGCACGTGGAAACGCACAGAGTACTCAAGGGCTGGCACCTGCTGTACGGGCTCCAAACAGCACATCCACTGAAGGCCTGCAATGGGGCCTATTTTAAAGGACGTAACTTGTAGGGAAAGAGGAGTTTGATACTCTGATCTGATAAATTTAATGTTTATTATTTAATGTTGTTTCATCAAGTCCGAAATGATATACATTTATCAACCGGCTTCATGTCCTATTCCTTTGGTGTGCTTTCATGGAAACAATTTTGTTCTTTATCTTAATATATGTATGGTGCTTGGCCAGAAAGCATTCTGGATTTAGCATGAGAAAACTTAATTTTGAGTCCTGCTCTGCTCTGCTGTTTACGGGTCAAGGCATTAACCTCTCCGAGCATTTTTCTGCATGAAAAAAATGGAGTTAATAATACTTTCCTTGATTACTTCACAGAGCTATTTTCATCAAATAAAACTGTGTATATAAAATCATTCTAGCTTTAAAGGATGAGTGATGATTAAATTTTAATAAACGCCTAACAAGCGTGATTATGCACGTACTGTTCCTATGTAAAAATTAATTCTACTCTTGAAGATGGAGACCGAGACAAAGGGGACTGAAGAGGCTGGCCATCTCTGTGCCGCTCCTGGTAGAGCTCCTGGCGGAGCAAGAAAGCAGAAGGAACTATGCCTGGAGGACCCTTGGCAAAGTCCCCACCCGCAGCCTGAAGGAGACCTGAGAGAGGTGGGGCCCATCTGGTAGAAGCACACCAGGCAGAAGCCCTCGGTGAGCACTTCCCTCCGAGAGCAGAGCAGAGCCTGAGAACAGATAACCAATGTTCATGGGACCCACGTGCCCTGGGATTGTTCTAGGATCTGGGCCTCCCGAGCTACCTGTCATTTGAGAAAGGAACCGTGAAAAACAGTGGCAGTTGGCAACTTTTATACCTTAATTCAAGAAATATATTTTACTTGATCGTCATCATGAAATTAATGAATTCACTCATAAAAAACAGAATCGGCACAAACACTATAAATCTAGTTTACTGTCTATTGCTTTAATACTCAACTGAATGATTTCAAAATATTCAATTCCAAATTCTGAGTGCCCAAAATAGCCCACCCCCAGATCCTGCATATCACCTTGTCTCAGAACAATCTGGACAAAGGCTGGGAAGGACATCAAAGCCCATCTGCATGTCAATTTCATTCTTCTTCCTAATGATACAAACTGAACCTAACAGATAATTCCCACTCATAACTTTGTAAAAACCTAAAAATCTCCCTGCTTGTTATATGCAGTTCCTAATCACTTCATATATTTTTAAAATGATAAAAGATTTCTTCAATAATAATGTTAGTGTCATTATTGTTACTGCATAAAAATAAAATGCCCACTTTCTACAAATACTAACTTTCTACTGCAAGAGAGCACCTTGCAGTTCTCAACACAAAAATTTCTGGAAATAAACTCGACATTTGGCCCTAAAGTCTTAAGTCACAACATTTCTCATCAGGATGATTAATCTTTACGAAAAGGCAAGAAAACAAGACACAGCCACCCACTCTGACATTTTCAATCTTTGAAAAAAAAATCCCAATCTAGTTCATGAACTGGAACCATCATTTGTAAAAAGTATGCAATCCATCAAGAGCACTTTCTGATTATAAGATTAACAAGATCACTATCTTTCTTATTCTTTGCACTGAGAAAACTGTACTGACATTAGAAAAGTGGTTCTAGCTTAGTTTTACTTAGAAATCTGATAAACTTTTGTCCAGGAACCAAGCAGCCTTTAATAATAACATGATTACTTCACTTTTTCCTTTTCTGCTTACTTGAAAAATAGAATCAACAAAGTGTAACACTAAAAAAAACTACTCCATTGATTTATACAGGGCTCATTTTTGTCCACCTTTCTACAGGCAGGACTGGAGAGTGGAGGGTATGTACTTTTCAGGTAAGACAAAGCAACCTAGAGCTGTGCCCGCGTGCACGAGTGTGTGTGCACGCACGCGTGTGTGCGTGTGCTCTGGCAGGCAAGCAGAAGCAATGCTGTGGCCCCCTGGAGCGGGAGGGAGGAAGAAGAGGTGGCTCTGCAAGCTCAGGGTTTGCTGTCGGCTAGAAGTAAAAGCTTTAACCTAAAAGAAGCCAAATCAGAGATGACTCCTCAAGATCTGGGTTTGAAGCCTTTCTTTCCTTTTCCTCCCTCAGTTTTGAAAAGCTCTAACCTTGAGAGGGCTTTGCTCTAGAGAAAGAGGAGAGCATTACCTCAGTGACTCCGGTGAGCTGTGAGAAGGAGGGACCGGGCACGGGGAGGAGCGGGGGTGGGGGGCTGAGGAAACAGCTGGGAACGAAGCAGATGACACCACCACTTGTCCATTTAACGCGATCCATTTACCTGTGTTATTTTTTCTATTCCCTGGAAGTTGTGCTTTTCAAAATGTTCTGCGATATTTCGGAAGGTGTGACGTTCAAGGTAGCAGCAATTACTCAGGACTATTAAAAGTCTCTGTTCCTAAAACCAATACAAATTTTTAGAAAAATATTTAGAGTAACAAATTGAAAGTCTAACAGATAACATTTATCACTTGTTAAATTTAATTATAATCTCTTGGTGTTTAATATCAATATTCAATGCTTTGTTTTTCTTGGTTCCTTCTTTCCAGTAAGAGGGAGAAACACAATACAGTTCTATAATTCTACTAATTGCTCACTATGACATAACACACTATAGAGCCAAACAATGTTTGACTCAAATTCCTTTTGAAATTTATCAGCTGTATGGAAAAACAGACTGATGCAACACAGTAAACTAGAAAAACAGGATAGCTGCTTTCTTAGGAAAGGGATTCTACTTTATTGGTTATTCCACTTCATACGTTTTGCACCCCAAAAAAGCTATAAAAATGGGTATTTAAAAAGAACTACCAAAAAATGGAGAAACTCTCAGAAAATAATTTCTAAATTTCTTATAAATTGGAAGAGAATTGTAATGCCATCCATAGATGGGCTCCTTCAAACACCAGGCCTTCACAGAATTTCTTATGTAGAAGAGTCTCCCTCTTACGGGGACTCTCCCCCGGTCAGCCATGCAGGGTGCCGGTCTACACTCCCCAGGCTTCCCGCTGTTTAAGGTGACTTGTATCAAAATTACCAGACCCCCCAGGCTGATGAATCAATCATCCTCTCAGAGTTCAGAAGAACTGGCTTTCTAAATACAGTTCTAGGAATGGCACTGTCACTGTTCTTGGGGCTGTCTGAGCACTGTCCCTGCTCCCTCAGGCGTGAGGGCTTCTCTGGAACCACTGTGACTAACTTAGGGCCTTGGTTTAGATCCTTGACTAAAAACTAAGGCAGAACTCCTTCCTAGGAGAAGCTCTCACCCATACTTTGATCGCTGCTGTGTACTAATCAGGGTAGCTTAGGTTAATGTCAGGAAGGCAGGTGGGAATAACCAGGCCCTGGCAGGTGCACAGACCACAGGGCTAGGCTCACTGAGCCTGGATCACCCAAGAATTCCATTCAGCTCCCTCAAAATGTGTAAAACTTTCCATGTCTTTATTTAAAATTTTACTGTTTAGTTCTGGCAGAGTGTGGCCGATTTGCTGCCTTTTGTGGTCATCAACAAATATAATTAAAAGGCCCAGGAAGTATTACAGTGCTTTCAAAGCAATGAAAGTTTGTCAGTGGCCTGAATGACTCTATGGACAGGAAGTGGCGGCAAAAAAAAGCCTAAAACAAATGTGCTGTGCGTCTACTCCTCGTCCACGTTCTGTGTTCAAACCGCGTGAGGTGGGCACCAGGAGGTGACACGTGAGGCTGGGGGAGGCCCAGACCCCTGCCCACAGCTAGCTGTCACTGTTATGTGGCCCTTGTAAAGCGTGTGACATAAAGTCACCGTGACACTTCATCAGCCACGCTGAGCAGTGGCATCCCAAATATCTCAACTGGTCTCTCAGCCCCACGATCAATCCTTAATTACCCTCCAGGCACCGCCTCCCAGCTGCCCACCCCAGCCCGCCACACCTTCTCTGCCCTCTTCATTAATTAACTCTGGTTGATTTTTACCCTTGTAATCTGAATGGTTCTTCCCCCAGAATGGAAAAACTATTTGAGTGATTTGAAGTCTTACTCTTAGTAAGTGTATTTTTTCCTCAAATATAACCAATCACAGGAAACAAAAGTGGGAAGAAAACCTGACAAATAATCAAATTCTTAAAATTGAATGACTCATCAAAAGCTGACAAACAACTCAGATGAATACACATGCTTGAAAATAACAACTCAACCTATCCATGGCAGTACCTGCAGACTGAGGACTGCACGGCCTTGTGTACTGTTCTGGCTACCCCACAGCATCTCTGTGATGCGGCCATCAGGCCACCCTCCGTGGCATGCCCGAGGTTCTTCTGTCAGTAAGCAGCAGACCAGCAAGCGAACCAGAAACCTAGCCCTTTCTTCCCACAAGGTGCCTCTCTGCTGGATAACAGGACAAGACCCTAAGAAGATCTCAATTACCTGGACCAAATCTAACACGGTATCATCCAATGGGGAAAAACACAGGAACTGAATTTGGTTCCAAATCTGGAACAATTTCAGGAGAGTGAAATGGGACAGAGAAGGTCCAGTGACCAGCAGAAGCAAGTGCGAAGCATGCAGGGCTCTGGGTGACAGAGGAGAGGAGGCGAAGGCATGGTTCTGGGGGAGTCCTGGGCTCAGAGCAAGCCGTGTTAGCTCAAGAAGGGAACTTGTGAGCACACGGCAGCTGCTCCAAATACTGGGAAGATAGTCACCTAGAAATTAGGCTTGTCCCAAAAGACCCAGAAGAAACGTGGTTGGCCAGACAGGCAGCAAGGCCTTTCTCCACTGAGAAGGATCCTTCCTCGCATGTCCTTCTCTCCCATTCACAGCGGGAGAACGGTTTGAACTCACCACATAGCCCTCCTCAGCTGCCACTCATCCCTGACCCAGCGCAGGCAGCTGCCCCTCGGCCATCCACACGCCCTCCCACGAGGCCTGGCTTCTGTCTGACCTGGCCTGATGCTCTGTCAGTCTGCGATACCGTTAAATATTCCTTTGCTTAAACGCGCTCTCCCACCTGTCCCTGGATTTCCTTCCCTGATTCTTCCTTCTCAGGGAACTTCCAGGCTCTCTGCCTCAGGCCTTCCCTTAAATACTGGCACCCTCAATATTATTTTTATATATTTGGCCCTCCTCTCCTCCTACTGTTTTCCCTAGTATTCTCATCCACTCCCAGGCCTTACACTGCTGACTCACAAATCTGTACCTAGATCTCTCTCCTGGGGTCCAATCACCCACTAGACATCCCACCTGAACATCCCTCATTCAACACATCTGGTCCCAAACTGAATTTTTAATCTTTCTTTAGAAACTATTTCCTTCCTGAATTCTCTTCATGAACAGTACTGTTATCTACCTAGTCACCCAAGTAATTAAACCTACAATAGCTTTTAAAAAAAAATTACTTTGATTAAACTCTATTTTTCCTAATATAACAAATCCTTATTTAGGAATTCATACTTATAATAACTGTAGAAATTATATATGGCAGGAAATTTAGTTCACATGTTTTCTTTCTTGACAGGTACATACACATACACACACATCATTCAAGCTAATGACAAACCAGAGAGGGTTGTTTTTTTTGTTTGTTTGTTTTTTAGGATAGCTGGAGTTTGAATTTCAACAGCTAAATTCACATACAGGATAAAGTGTATGTGTGAATCATTGCTAAACACATGCATATGTTTAAAATATATGTGTGTTTATAGAAAAGGTGATTTGGTTTTGGTTTTGCCATGGAATTTTGTGTTGTGTTCAAATAAAATGCTATTAGGGAACTTAACAACAACAACAACAACAAAAAAAAAAAATAGAGAAAAGCAGAGCTTCTCTGTTTAAAGAGGGAAAATGGGGAGAAATGGTGCCTGTCCTTTGCCTCCTCTCACCGCTTTCAAGCACCAGGGTACCACACTCAGGATCTCCACACAATGCAGAGAGGAGACGGAGCTACTTAAGCTGCAACTTCAGCTAAAAGATTTTTAAGTGCGGAATATTTACAAAATTATATTTTTACTAAAACTTTCACAAAATAAAACACAGCTCCAAAGTAACAGTAGCATGCTACATCAGTAATGTGGTAACAAAGTATTAATAATTTAGACTGAGTTATGAAACAGTCATAATGACATGTTTTATAACAAATGACATTTTACTTTCTATTTATCATCTTAATTATTTATGATCTTACTTACAGAAGTCAAACTAAAGTCTTCATGGACACTTCCAAACAAATCAGGAGAAGAAACATCAACGGAGAGACTGAATAGAGAAGTAAGAGAACAAGTTAAAGCACTAAAATTAAAAATGGTAACATAATGTTATATGTCAATTATACCTCAATAAAAAATGCAATGAAACCTATGTAAATTTGACTTTAAAACCTCTTGGTCAAAAATCATATAACTTTCTGTTTTTTAATATTTAACACCTAACAGCTCAAAGTAGACACTGTGGACTATCTATTAACATGGGCCACATAAAATGTGCTTTTGGGGTCTTCCCAATAATTTAATTTCTAGGTATAGACTCTCATAACTGAAATGTTTTTGCCCATCAGAATCTAGAGGGGATTTTTTCAAGCTCACGTTCATAGTAAATGACTTGAGGTGAGCTGAGTTAGGAAATTAGTTAATTTCCTAACAAGTGACCAGACACAGAAAGCTGCAGGGGAGGAAACACCAAAGACCCACTGATTAATTTATAGGTACAGCAGAATCACAAGTAACACCTTAGCAGGATTCCTTTTCTTTAAATCTAACCAACTGATTTTAGAATTCATATGGAAGACTAAATAGATAAAAATATAAAATAAGTTTAACATAAAGAAGCAATAAAAGGATAACAATCTGAAAAACATTAAAAAAAAAAAACTACTGGGCTTCCCTGGTGGCGCAGTGGTTGAGAGTCCGCCTGCCAATGCAGGGGACGCGGGTCCGTGCCCCAGTCCGGGAAGATCCCACATGCCGCGGAGCGGCTAGGCCCGTGAGCCATGGCCGCTGTCCAGAGCCCTGCTCTGCAATGGGAGAGGCCACAGCAGTGAGTGGCCCTCTCAAAAAAAACAAAAACAAAAAAACAAAACTACTGATAATTAAAACAACAAACACTGATAGGAAACATTTGTGAATGAATAGAACCGAAGATAAAGTTCAGAAATACCTTCACTACATATTAGAATTCAATGATGTAAGGCACAGAAATTGTAACAAAACAAGAAGACAAAACTTATTTAATTCAAAACATCAGTAAACTGATTAACAATACAAATTCCTGGTAAATTAATGTGCTAATAAACATATAAAAATCAAAGAAAAACTAGAATAACTAACTAAATATTTATTAGGTCTCAGAGGGATAAGTGTCTTATATACTGAGAGGCAAAAACCATGTAAACATGGAAACAGACAAACATGGAAAAAATTCCAGTTGTCAGTTATAGATTTAAGAGGCATTTATTTCACTATCATCTGTGTCAGAGCGCATAAGCCTTAGGTACACAGAAGTTACACATGCCAAACAGTCAGAAAAACTAGGTTTAAAAAAAATCCCAGAGAGCAGCATTATAAAAGAATTATCACATGGATCTGGAAATATCAGGAATAGAGATGTGTCCTCTGGAGTTCAACTAACCAAGAATGGCTCAGACAGTGTCCCTTTAACAGGAGTGCCAGGGTAACCCCCTGCACCAGAACCACAACAGCTATCAACGAGGAGTCACGCATTTTAACTCCCTATTTTATTATTTATAAACCCTGTTCCTCCGGATAATCAGTAAGCTAATCGTGTGCTCAGTTTGTTCAATGTGCCTCTAGTAAAGGTGAGACAAGTTCAGAAGATGAAGAAATTGTGGAAAGAATACAGGCCAAATATATAAAAATATAATTCATATGACTACTTGCTCTCTCTTATCGGAAGTCCCAGGGTATAAGACCAAATACAGAACAAAAGCCTGTATTTTCAATCCTGGTAAATGCATCGGTGAGGCTACTCTCAGCTCTACTTACTGTGCAGTATCTACATCGGCATCAGGCTTGGTGCTCAACTGTTCCAGACAGCATATAAAAACCTAAGTCAAAAATAAGACGTTTCAGTGGTATGAACGCTTAGATACTAATCTATTCGGACCTTAAAGATAAATTTTACATAAATAACCAGAAATACAGTGTATCTCTATTAAGTGGTATGTATGCATATATACCTTCTGTAAGTGGATAGACTGTATGTCCCATATATAGAGTATATATTCACATACACATAAAAGTATGTAAGCACTGGGAACACACATCCCAACGTATAATGCTAAGTGATAAAAAAATTTAAAGCACCTATGTTCTGATCCCATTGTTAAGTTCTTGAATGTATTTTATTTCCTTCCTCTCACTCATTCACTCATGCATTCAACTGGGTTTATGTGCCCACAAGGCACTGGTCCCAAAGAACTTGGTGCTCTAGGTACAATGTAAACAACTGTCATGTCATTTAATCTGTGCTCTAACAGATATATACACACAAAGTACTGTGAGAACACAAAAAAGGGGAGCATAATAAAAATGAGTTATTGGGGTACTGCTAAGCAAGGTGGAACTAATCTTACCTTGAACTTATTTACCATAAACTATTATGTTCTCAGACAAGAAGGAAAAAAGAATACATATTTAATATCTGCTATACGCTGATTATGAGTAGGAGGGAAGACTAATAATTCGCATTATTTCAGGCTTCAGGGCATCAGCGCTTTTACAAAGTACCTGCATGATGTTGATGCTTAGTTGGCAAACCTCTTCCTGGGTTTTCGGTTGTTGAAAGACCTGTAAGGAAGAATGAGAATTGTTGTACTTGGCTAAGAAAACTTTTTGTTTATGAAGTTCGATATAAGAAGTTAACACGTGGGAAAGTGTGTCCAGTGTGGGTCACCTGACTCTGAAAGGGGACAGGAATGGAGAGCTGGCCTCGGGCCGAGTGACTGTGGCCTGAGTGACAGGGCAGCAGCTCTGGCATCGCAATGACCCAAACCTGCAAGGGGAGTCCCCGGCTGCCCGGCCCCCACCGCAGACGGCTGCTCTCAGACACTCACGCTGGCTTCTCCGGGCTTGCACTCCAGGACTTCTCGCAGCGACTGCAGGGAGTGCACCACGCAGAGCTCAAAGTGGCATGGCTGCAGAAGACAAAAGCAACAGGACCTGGGCATGCAGACCCCGAGCAGAAGCAAACTCGGCCCTGATGCCCAGATTTCCAGACGTGAGGAAAGGGATGGAGACACACACAGCCTCCCCGCCACCCGGACCTAGACCTGGCATGTTCTGCACTTGATATTTAAAGACCATGAACCCTGACAGTTGGAAGCGCATCTAATTCAATTAGAATAGAAGTTGGGTAGAATGAGAATTTTTCTTCAAAATTCTACTCTCCTGAGAGGCAGATGCCGGGATGAAGCGCAGACGTAACATACTCTGGGACGAGCTCCATCTCCCCGGGCCTTCCTCATCTCCCAGGGGACGTTAGTACGATGACCCAGAGGAAGGCCGACCTTTCATTCCAACCATCTCTACGGTCACCAGATTCTATGCCCATCAAGTCAGAAATGAAACCTGAAAACATGTCCAACAAATGGGCTTCAGGATGAGTCTGAATGAGCCCTAACTACACCTCCTCGTGCCAGGCCCACTCCAGGGGACGGTGACATGTGTTCTCGTTATGTGTACATTCTGGGATGGAGTCGACAAAACTGTCACTTCTACAAAAAAAAAAGTACAGAAATAAAATAAGTGGACTGCAAAGTAGGGTAAGGGCCATGAAGAGAACAAGCGGGCACTCAGAGGAAAACTGATGGAGGGGTTCTGCCCTAAGCAGGAGAAGCCCCTGAGCCAGTGACAACATCCAAGCTGAGACCAAGGGCAAGAGGGGCCGCCCCCGGACAGAGACAGGAGGGGCCTGGAGGCGCCGAGTCACCACCACGGGCCAGAGCCTGGTAGAGCCTGCACGGGGCAGGACAAGGCTCAGTTCAGCTGAACCAGCTCTGGGCAAAATCTGCTTCAATTACTAAAAGAACTCAGGGAAAAATCGAACAGAAAAAAAGACACACCTGTATACAAACCAAAGAAAGACAAGTTTACTCTCTCACAAAAAGGAATCCAGGCTTAAGGAAAACTAATAGCACCTCAACTTAATGTCATTTTAATACTGCACTTTGGAGCCACCAGAGGGCACCATAAAGAACATGCAAAAGTCTTTAAGTGCAGAGAAAGAAGGTTGGGGGCGGGGGCAGGGGCAGGGATGGATGTGACAGAAAATACCGCCTACAGAAAGTAAAGTCCTGGTAGACACCGGCCTTACGAACCCACCTACCTGCCCCAGAAGGTAGGAAAATCTAAGATGTTACAATAATAACACTGGGAATTCAACCCCAAATCCAATGGCAGGCAGTTCAGTGTTCCTGTGCTGTTTCCTAACTGTCTTGCCTTAGAATGTGAACAGAGAGCCCGGAGAGCACTGCCAGTGGGAAAGGGAGCACATGAGTCTACACAGCTGCGATTTCTTTTTTTCTGAAAAGAAAGAACAGGCACTATCTCTGCATTTTGTCAGTGAATCACCCAAGCTGCTGATTATAACATCACATATCATTCCAGTTATTCTGAAAGGAGAAAATTCTCAGAATTATCCAAACTGAAAAAAGGCAGAAAACATTTTCAACAAGAGTAGAAAACAGGATGCTCTCCAACGAGCTGTTTCAGACACTCAGCTGAAAGCACAGTCATGGGGGCAAAGCTCATGTGCATTTCTTTAACTTGATAAGGACTCACAGGGAAAGAAAAACATCCTTATTTCAAACAAATGGGATCAGTACTATGGAAATGCTAAGAAAATGTAAAGTAGTGTATGTAATAGCCTTTGAGACAACTGACTCTCTGTTCAAAACCTGAGAATTTCAGATGTTAGGTAAACACTCAAAGCTGGACCCTGGACATTGCTCTAAGCCTGGATGTACCTTCCCTCTCACGGGAAGTCTGTGCCCACAGCTGACAGCAGGCTCAGCTCCCAGAGGCCTATGGGATTATTAGCACATTTCTTCAACAACGTCCAATAAGACACACTGGCTGGCACCAAATCACCAGTAAGTGGCTTTAGATCTCTGGCTTGTGTGTCACCAAACACGAGACCAGCTATGCTATGGATACAGTATCTTACCATGTTATAAACTTTAAATTTATTAGAAACAAGCCTCTACAGTAACCACTTCGAAGGACTTTCATGGGGGCTTATCTACTACAAACAACCAACCAACCTTAGATGTGGCTGTTATCTCACGCACACACACTGGGGACCCAGATTTGCAGCCATCACACACGCACACTAGACTCTGTGTACAAAAACCACTAACCTGAAGCCAATACCTATTTTATGACTAAGTTGTTCATATTTTGTCCTTTTTTTTTTTTTAAATGAACATAAATCCTTGAAAACAGATGCTTCGTTTTCTCAAATTGAACACACATCTTCTTCTTTGCACAAGATGACCTGAAGCTGGTACTAAGAACCCAGGGTCAGGGCTGTGCTGTCTGCTCTGCCTGGCTTGTTTCATTTGGGGCAGTAATTCAGCAGTGCTGGTCCAGCAATGTCTCTGGCCTGCCATCCAGGCCTGCTGTGATAATTAGGGATGACAGGGGCATAGGATAGAGCTTTGATAATAGTAAGGCTTTATGTACATTTACGGTATTTTTATCATAGTGGTCCCAGTATTACAAGTATTAGTTTAATAAATTAAAATTCTCTGTATGTGTATAAAGCTTTGTATTACAGCTTTTTTCTACAGCATCTCATTTAATCGTAACCAACACCACTGTGAACAAGCATTCTGCTTCTTTAACTAGAGGCAGAGAGGTTAAGTGGCTTCTGAAGATGGCACAGCTACTGAGACAGAACTGAGGACGTAACCAGACCAGACACTGAAGCAGCACAGGGCCTTCCCTCCACACCAGTGCCGCCCAACACAAGTGCAGTGTGAGCCACAAACACACGTCATGTACGTAATCTTAGATTTTCCAGGAACCACAATAAGAAAAGTCAAAGAAAAACCTAAATTTTAGTTTATAACGTGTAATATATCAAAAATTATTTCAACATGTAGTCAATACAGAAAGTTGAGATCTTCTTTCTTTCTGTACTTGCTTCTTTCTTTGGAGTCTGAAGCTGTGCCAAGTGGCTGCTGTGCTGGATGGTACCATCTGCTCCACACCTCCTTCCTCTAAATATTGGGGGGGGGCCAAAAAGTGCCTTTGATTTTTAAGTAAAAATAAAAGACACATTTTTCATTTTCACCAAGAACTTTACTTAACAACGTATTCGCCCTTTTGTTCCACTACCTTCTGCCATTTTCAGGCAACTTCATAATTCCATCTTCCCAAAACTTTTTATCTTTTTGAGCAAAGAACTGTTCCAGGTGCCTTTCACAGTCTTCCAGGGAATTGAAATTTTTTCCATTAAGAGAATTATGTAAAGACTGATAAATGAAAATCTGAAGGTGCAATGTCTGGTGAATATGGCAGATGAATCAGAACTTCCCAGCCGAGCTGTAACAGTTTTTGCCTGGTCATCAAAGAAACACGTGGTCTCGCATCATCCTGATAGAAGGTTATGCGTTTTCTGCTGACTAATTCTGGATGCTTTTCATGGAGTGCTGCTTCCAGTTGGTCTAACCGGGAGCAGTACTTGTTGGAATTAATCGTTTGGTTTTCTGGAAGGAGCTCATAATAGAGGACTCCCTTCCAATCCCACTACACACACATTACCTTCTTTGGATGAAGACCGGCCTTTGGTGTGGTAGGTGGTGCTTCATTTCACTTGCCCCATGATTTCTTCCGTTCCACATTATTGTACAGTATCCACTTTTCATCGCCCATCACAATTTGTTTTAAAAACTGAACGTTTTCATTACGTTTAAGTAGAGACTCGCATGCAGAAATGCGGTCAAGAAGGTTTTTTCGCTTAACTTATGTGGAACCCAGACATCAAAGCAATCCACATAACCGAGCTGGTGCAAATGATTTTCCAACACTTGATTTGGATATTTTGATTTGGATATTTTGAGTATGTCGGCTATCTCCTGCGTGGTGTAACACTGATTGTTCTCAATTAATGTCTCCATTTGATCACTATCAACTTCAACTGGTCTACCCAACTGTGGAGCACTGTCCAGGGAGAAATCTCCAGCACGAAACTTCGCAAACCACTTTAGACATGTTCTATCAGTCACAGCACCTTCTCCATACGCTGCACAAATCTTTTTTTGCATTTTGGTTGTGTTTTTATCTTTCTTGAAATAATAAAGCATAATATGCTGAAAATGTTGCTTTTCTTCTTCCATCTTCAATATTAAAATGGTTACACAAAAATTCACCAATTTAGATAAGTCTTTTTTTTAAATGCACGCTGATATGACAGGTGTCACATACAATCTAACAAAATTGTTTCAAATGAAGTTAAACACAACTAAGTGCTACTAGAGCATCTTACGGAAAAAACCGAACGAACCTTATGGCCAACCCAATATTTAGCTATAGGACAGTTTGTATTTAAACATAAATACTTCTGAAAAATAAGCCAAATAAATCAAAACAAATTTTTATTAAAATTAAATCCTTTAAAATATAATTACAGGGACCTCCCTGGTGGTGCAGTGGTTAAGAATCCAACTGCCAATGCAGAGGACATGGGTTCAAGCCCTGGTCCGGGAAGATCCCACATGCCGCAGAGCAACTAAGCCTGTGTGCCACAACTACTGAGCCTGCGCTCTAGAGCCTGCGAGCCACAACTACTGAGCCCATGTGCTGCAACTACTGAAGCCCGCACCCCTAGAGCCCGTGCTCTGCAGCAAGAGAAGCCACCACAATGAGAAGTATTCGCACCACAATGAAGAGCAGCCCCTGCTCGCCACAACTAGAGAAAGCCCATGTGCAGCACTGAAGACCCAACGCAGCCAAAAATAATAATAAGATTTAAAAATATACATATATAATTATAAGACTTATTAAAAATAAATTCCCCTAATTTCAAGCATGATTTAATTTACAAAAATTTGGAAGTAAGCACTGCTGTTCCAAACACACACTTGTATAGCTTTGTATTAACTTAAGAAAGAACTTTGAACTTTCGAGGAAAAGAAGAGTTTCAACTTGTCAAAAATTCCCCAACTGAGACTGGGACTGACATATATACACTAATATGTATAAAATGGATAACTAATAAGAACCTGCTGTATGAAAAAATAAATAAAATTCAAAAAAATCCCCAACTGTCAGAGGAAGGCTGTGGACAAGCACACAAATTCAAGGACATGAAGAAATGTTACAGGGGGTGGTTGCTCCTCAACAACCTGAGCCCCACTACTTTGTAAATGTGAGCAAGTCAGACCGTTTTATTCCACTGTACCTGTCTACTAAGGTAAGACAGAACTGTTGGGGCCAGGATTGTGCTCTGCTGAAAAACTACATTTTTTCCAGCCTCCGCTGCAGACAGGGGTAGGCACGTGGATAAATTATGGCCAATTAGATGTAAGCAGAGTTGTCAGTTGTGGCTCCTGGGAAAATGCTGGACTTCCCTGCTGACAGGAATAAGGCTGTGGTGGCTGGAACTGCAGTGGCCATCCCGTGTCATGAGGCCATCCTGAGAGAGGAGCCACACTAAGGGTCACAAAGCAGGAGTCGGAGGAGCCCTGGACACTGCCCGTACTACATGACAAAGCTGCCACACCAGTCCCAACCTCTTTAGTGGGGGAGAAAAAGGAAATGCCCTCTTCTTTAAGCCACTGAATGTTTTAACCTTGCCTGACACCCACATACAGGTTGCTGTGGGATCCATGGGACAGACTCAAAAACACGAGAACTCACAAACTCTAACACTAACACAATTTTCAAGGGGATTCTGAAAATCTCAAAGCCCCATCTGAAAAGATGATTATTCCAGAGCAAACAGACCATGGTTTTAACTGCCCACCTGACCCCTGCATGCGTCTGGAGAAGTTCGCTGTTGCCTGTTTTGCCTTAGGGCCGAGCAACAGCACTGGTTTCCTATCGTGCTTTTCTGAAAAATTCAAATTGCTGGGTAACTTAGAATTACATTAAAAAATGTAACACAACAAAAAATAGTTAAGAGTCACAGGATGAAGAAAGATCACTCTAAAGGGGGATCCACTGTTTTTACTCATTTTTAAATACCTGTGGTTAGTGTTAAGCAAAAATGACTCTGAGAAAGAAAACTTTAAGAAGTTTGCTTCTGCATTTCCAGAAACGTTTTAGAGTTGCAATAGAGAGCATATGCTCATTATCAAAATAAATCAATTATTTTGAATATAACAGACACTAATGATTAATCACCAAAAAGAATTTAAACTTACTAGGGACGTCAGGCCTTCACTGTCGACAACCCAGTCTTCCTTTTCAGCCAATCTCTTTACTTCTACAGGGAACACAAGTACACGAGCGCGTCTTATTATAATTATCTCACTGAACTTCAGAGAGATAAAAATGCATAAAGGTTATGGTTTTTAATTGTTTTATATAAGTTTGTAAAAAATCAGTGAAAGTAGGGAGAGAATATAATTCTGGTAGACTCAAGGATTTAAATGTGTATCACTCACTGGATTTTTCTAATACAACATTAATGTAAATAAAATTGTCTACTGTGTAGCCCAATCTGGAGAATGCTGGGCTAGGTTCAGTGACAGCTTCAGACAACAACTTAGTAGTTATTCAGCACTCCTGATAATATTAAACAGGTACAATACAAGACACACGGCATTTCCCCCTAAGATTTCTGATGACCAAAGTGGACTCTCTCTCAGTCCTGTATGCTCCCGATGATGATAATGTGATACCCACGGAGGGAAGAACACGACCAGTGCACACCTGAGGGCTCAGCCCCGACCTGGGCCAGGGGCTGGTTCTGTGCAGACACAGCCTTCCTACAACAAAGTCCTTGGGACAGATACCAACGGCTTGTGCCTTTCACAACAATATTCTTGATTGTTTTTGAAAATGTTTAATAACCCAAAAGGCTGCTTTGTAAAGATAACCTTCATTGTTTATGACTATATGCAGAAATCCTGAAAACTCTATAAAAGTATAAAGAAAATGAACACCTATAACTTCTGCGGCAAAGAGAAACTGTTAACAGTCTTTCTTCTGATTTTATGCTGACATTTCTAAATTAAAAATTTTAAATATACATATATATATTTTCAAAATTGGGATCATACTTTTATACACATTTTATATTCGACTTTTTCCACTTAGCATTTTCCATAAGGATGTTCTTATATCCTTAAATATTTTTCAAGTATACCCATCTTAATTTATATATGGTCTGGCATCTCAAAGTAAATAGATTTGAAAAGTTTCAAAAAAGGAAAAAAGTTATATTGAGCAGCTAAAGACAGTCTGAAATACTCAGATTTCTATAAGAGCATCTTTCACGTTTTTAAGGATTTGGAAGCTGGAAAGAGGTGGCATGTGCAAATAACTGTTGTCTAGCCGATGTCATCAGTTTTTCTCAACATACCTTCCGCTGTGTGCTGCAGTGTGACCACCACACAACGCACTCGAAGGTCCAAGACGAGGTCCTGGATCGTCTGTAACAGGTCATTAGGAATCTCAAGGGCAGTCAAGGATTCATAAGTAAGCCTGTAGAACAAACACAGCAAAACAAATGTCAGCAGAGCAGGATCTGGAAGCAATTCCAGACATCATTTTGGCCATCCCACAACGATTCACAATGGTGCTTATAAGCTACAGCGTTATGTTGAAAACATGGGGAAAGTAAGCCCATTCACAGGGATAATATCACAGTGACACTGAACTAAACAATGAAAAAGGTGACATTCTCATCAGACAAAAGCACAAGCAAGGTTTAAGAGCTTAGTTATCAGGTGACACACGGGGAACAGTGGGCACAAAAGGAGACAGTAAAATTCTGTGTTGAGTGTATTAAAAATCATATCCCACACTGAGTGTGTGGTGTTTCCCCCTTTTCTGGAGAACGCGCCCACATTTACCTCAGAGTCTGGATGGCGTGAGCGAGCCCCTGCCCAGAGAGCTCGGCCTTCACTTCCCAGCCTCTGCACTGCCGCCCTCCGCCCTCCGTGACGCTGAGCGGGAGCAGGGCCCCCCGGAGCAGCTTCACCAGACAGTGCATTACTTCCTGGATCATTTTCTAGACAATGATGAACAAGCAAAACTACATTAAAAGGCATCAACTTGATTAAATCAACTGGAAGAGTCGGCCTGCACAAGACAAATGTCTTCAATGTACATCAAGGTCTCTAGTCACTTTGCTTGAGAAAACCCTACCCCAAGAAAGAGTCTACATACCTATCCTTAACTCACCTTAAAATCATTTTGTCTTTGCCTTACATTCTTTGATCTTTCAATGTGGCCTGACTTCTCAGCAGTCTTAAAAATTAAAAAAAAAAAAAAATTAGTTGTCTTTAGAAATAATCTATAAAAAAAAAGAAATGCTTTAGCAGTTGTATATAAAGAAAGCATGAAATATAGTTATAACTTGATTAAAAGGAATGTATAAGAAGTAATCTAAGTTTCTGATTAAAGGATGACTAATTAGAAAACCCTTCTTATTCCAACAAGAAGCTATTCATCTTCCTAAAACCTTTAAGTACAATTCTCATAAATAAACCTAAGTATTAAACTGAAACTTCCTGTAGGTGAATTTCACATGCTGTTTTCATCCACAGTTTTCTACAGTTAAGCCTATGGGCATTCAGTCCACGATGCCGCTCCAGCACCACTTCCCGGGCAGTGGGTGCAGAAACGAGAGGAGCAGAAGCTCTGGACAAGTGTCCGGACGCCTTTGGACACCCCGCTCCGCTCCTCCCGATAGTTTTCGTGAACATGAGCATTAGCACTGACATTTATTTTTAAAAACTTACACATCACTGCTCTTCTTCCAGGGGCCTCACGGTCTCATTTAGGAGGGAATGTATTCTAGAATTGGTTGTTATCTGTTCACTGATAGCCATGTTTTCCTCTGATTTCTTTCTCTTTAATGTGTAGAAGACCACTTTACACTGATTAAATGAGAAATCTGTTCCACTGGATTTCAGTTAACTTTTTATTACCAAATTTTCTAACAACTAAATATTATTATACAGAATGTCCTAGCAGGGCAAACTTAGGGAACTTTCCAAAGGAAGAAGTAATCACAAAATGGTACAATGTAAAAGAAAATTCAGATACTTCACCAACATAATGTAAAAGTTACCCTTTAAAGGTAAAATACTGGTGTATTTGGTTAGAGAACTTTTTACTTAGGAACAACTGCATTATAAATAATTATGATATTGATGCCAAGGTAATTTTAAAATACTTCAAGGTATGCTATTTCTATTTAAGGTATAAGCTAGAGAAACAGTGTGGAGAGTTGGTCTACAGGATCAACACCATTGACGGGAAGGAGTAAGACAAGGATAAGGATTGCTGACGTCTTCAACAAAGTATCAGACACCCTGACAGAAGAGGCCAGCACACACAGACACACACACCTCTTCCGGAGCTAATTTACACTTATCGTGCAGCTTTTATCATTTTTTTCTTTGTAGAGATGCGCTTTTAAAAGAATTTAAGTTTAGTTTTTAAAAAAACTAAACCCCAAATTCACAATAATAATTCAATAAGCAAATTTCTAAGTTCATTGGCCAACAACCATCAAAATTCTTTGTATATCAGGATTTACAGAAATTGATTCTTTTTAGGACAAATGAGAAGTAACTGAAGCGTTTTAGAGCTGCAGTGAGGCGTGACCAGAGGGGCTCATGTCGGAGTTTGACCAGCTACAAAGACAAGAGACACAGGGCGAGGTGTGGGGAAAGGGGTGGAGTCCCCTGCCCTCTGCAGGTGGGACACTCTCCCCAACCTCCACGTGTCCTTTGGGGGTTTTATGGAGGCTTCATTAAGTAGACACGATTGATCAGATCACTGGCCACTGGTCACTGAACTCAGCCTCCAGCCCTTCTCCCAGAGGTCTGGGGGTGGGACTGAAAGCTCCTACCCTCTAAACACAGGGTTGGTCCTCCAGACAACTAGCCCCCATCCTCAGGTGGGAGACACTCATTATCACAACAAAAGGCATCTTTTACCACTCCTCACTTAGGAAGTCACAATATCAAGGGTGAGCAAGATCAAATATATATTTCTTATTATCAATCTCAAGATCACCGTTCCAAATTTACATCTCCAGCCCAAATCTTTCCTCTGAGGTCCAAATTTGAATTTCAGGTTGCCTACTTGGTGTCCGCAGAAGGCCTGGGCAGAACAAGGTGAAACGGTGGTGCTTCTGGGTCTGGAGTTTGCTGGCCTCCAGCTGGGAACTGCAGGGTCTCCAGAGTGCTGATTGCGGACTTTGGGGCTTGCTACCCTCCACAGTCACACGAGCCAACTCCTTAGAGTAAAGCTCATTCTCTTTATATACACGGTTGGAAACAGAGCCAACACCCTATTGGTTGCTTTTCTGAGCCCTGGCTCACTGTGCTGTGGAGGACGGATGGGAAGGGCCTCTGGAAGAAGGTGTCATCTGTCCCCGGGAAGGGTCAAGCCCACACAAACCTGCAAGTGTCCCGTCAGATGGGGTCTTTTCTGGTTTTATCTGCCATAGCACCTAACGCTGAATTTTTTATACAATAGGCTTGCTCAATGGGAAGATTATTTCACAGTCCTTTCTTTGTTCTGTGAAATATTTTTGAATCAAAAGAGTGAAAATCAATTGTTTGAAAAACATCATACCAAAATTTAGGTTAAACTTTGCCAGAACAATTCTGCCCACCAAACAGGTGCTAATGCACGCGTGATGACACCTACTGGACAGAATAACTATTTAAACATCAAGGGCCTGTCTCCAAACACAAAGGAAGTGGAGAGGGTAGGGGAACTACCTGTAAGGCATACCTCTTGCAATTGTTAAAAAAATCGTTACTTATTGTTTTAATCTGATGAAGAGTTGAACATCTCCAACATGCTGAATTATGTACACTTTGCCCTACTTTTAAAAGAAAATTTAATTTTGGAACAGAAAGGACATTTTAATTTACATACTATGAGTTATGCAATTTTTTAAAATGCTGATTCCTAAAGTTTAAAAATTATTTGGATACTTTAAAAGTTTTCACCTCAAAATACACTACATTTAAAATATATCTAAAGGTAAAATCTTAACCTACTATTAACCATTTTGCTAGCTAAAAACCTTAACTCTTTCCTGCACACACAGACCAAAACTACTTTGTGGTAAGACCAACGGCTAGATCGCACTGTTTTGATTCACATATGTTACCTCACATGGTCTTGACTGGTCTGAAGAACTATTTGTTAAACTGTTGGAAACTCCATCTAAATCTTTTAACAGATGAACTTGAAATAAAACAAAACAGTTTTACAACAAGAAAAAATAAGAAATTCCAAGTAAATTGTGTTTAAATATTAGAGAGCTTTCTTGTATGAGATTGAAACCCTGGAACTCTTCCCAATATTAATTTAATTAAGTCTCTGGATCTCACTCATGACATGATTGGCACCCTTTCCTAACTCCTCCATTCCTTCCACTGTCCTCTGGTGTCTTTCTGGCTTTTCAATAGAGGGTCACTTAGTTTAAAAACATGCCCAAATCTGTACAGTGAATTACACTTAATAATTATTACCATAAACTTTTAAGAAAAGTTTATGAGTATAAACTGTTGGAAATTCCACAGGCACACCCAACTCAGCACAACTGATCACAGTGGTTTTCCAGCGCTGTGACTCCTGAGCTCATTTACTCCTCATCTGCAACCAAACACCTCATTCAGACGTTTACACAACTAGGCGTAACCTGTGAGAAGGAGAATACCGTCCCTTTTCACTAAATCATCTCAGATCAAAACACCCTAAAAAGATGCAAGATGAGGCAACTACTGTCCATGCATGGGGGCCACCTCCAGACACCGCTCCAGTTGGAAGGAAAACACTCGGCTGGAAACAAAACTAGGTTTCCAGACGTTTCCTGGGTTCTGCTCCCTCACATGTGAGAACCCGCCTTGGCAACATTCAGCACGTCTCTGTTCTACATCAGTCCCACACTTCTCACCACTACTAAGCTTTGTTCATGAAACACCTACTGTGTGCCAGGCCAATGACACTTCAAATACTGGAATAAATATTTACTCCAAATAATAAGAGCAAATTCTTTTTTATCTCCCCGACACTGTTATAAGCACTTCACTTAATATTAACTCATCTAATTCCCAAACCATCCCCCTGGAAGTAGGCTGAGAAGTAACGGTATCTGCCCAAGGTCACAGCCAGTAAGCGACACACACTGGGTGTTCTACTCTAACCCTGGCGCTCTGCAAGAGACGCTGTGAACACAGCTGTCCAGGCACTGGCGTGGAAGCACCTCCCCTTTCCAGTCTCACAAGAGCTCTGCTTTAGAGGGAGCAGGTAAGAGGAGGAGGGTACAACACGGCAGGAGGGGGTGGCTGTCCCCCACTGCAGCAAAAGGCAAGAAACCCAAACCTTCCCCACCAGAGGCCGCCACTCTCATCCAGCTGCCATGAACAAAAATGCGGGCTGATCGGGCACGTCTGAAAGCACAACGCTGAGAAAACTCTTTTCAGGACACCTAAAGGCACTCTCTTCTTCAGGCAGCAATGAAGGCCAGCCAAACTCTACACATATTTTATGGAAGACTGACTTTCTCTGTACAGTGAACTTTTCAACAGAGCTTTTGTATAATAACCAGGTAATACAAAATGGACATGAAAGAGTTGTGAGGTATGTTATTTATTGCTATAATATTTGAATGTGTCAGTAACTGATACACTGCTGAAATTAACGTTTAAGAAAAAAATACAGGGATAACTCATGCTTAAGAGATAGGTTTTTCTGCATGAAGGAGTCTGTTTTTTTGCATGCACTATTGTTTTTCTGTTTTTCATGTACTAAGTAAATTTTATGGTTTAGATAACTAACCTTTCATTTAAACAAACATCTAGGGATCTACCACGTTAAAAGGAAAAGAGATAGTGGCAAACTTCTTTAATAGCAGCATGAGCATGCATCCATGGTCAAAGGAGACTGGATGGATCCTGGAGAACCAAGACACCCACCACCTTCTGTCAAACTGCAGGGGTGTCCTTGGTGTAAAAGAGCAAAAGCGGTTTTGTGCTGGCAAGTGCACTAGCCCCAGGAAGACCCCGCCTCTCCCAGCTTCCCCAGGGCTGTGAAGAGTCTCCCTGGAGATACGAAACCAGAGCTGTCTTCTCCTGAGCCACCAGAGCTCCAGGCAAAGGGCCTCAGAGTCTATATTCTGGGACCTGGAGGCCTGTCATGGGCACTTGACGTGAGACAACTGAGTGACAAGTCCGAATCTGTGTGCTACGCACAAAAGTCAAGAGTCGTTACTTTACGCCCGTAATTTCTGTGCTCCAATTATACATGATTAGGACACTAAGTACACGTGCAACTTGTGAGAGTGTAAAGCCTTAAACAACTTCTCCAGGCTGATCACATAGGGGCCAGAAAACAGGATCTTTAAGTTCTTTCCAACTAGGAAGTTCCCTCTCACTTGAGACCCATGTGCAAGATGCAAACATTTGATCCTTGTTGTATCACCTGTCCATCATCAATTGCACGACAGTTTCATCCACCACATGGCCTGACTGGCATTATACTCAATTCAGATTCTTTTATTCTTTAAGCCACTGTTTCCCTGAGCACTCACCCCTGCCTTCTGAGAGACACCCTCACTATTCTCCTTTACAATCAAGGACAGTGACTCCCGGAAGAGTTGAGTAACTTGTTCAAGGCCATACAGCTATTAAGTGTTAGGGCTTTACAGCATTTTCTACTAATCTTAAAACATCTGACAATACTTAGAGGCTTTGGGCTTCTGAGGCTTTAAAAAAGTCACTTCAAAATCTAAAATTTTTAAGACTAGAAATCCACGACTTAGCTACAACTATAGTCAAATCTGTACACATACCTCACTGAAAAGGCTTCCGTTAACATATGAAATCCAGAGTTTCCAGAAGTTGGGCAGCTGACTTAAAACAAGCTTGGTCAATTTTTCAACAAATGCCACCCGGTGGGGAGTTTGGTATCTCCATGCTAAAGAGGAAAAGAATAAAATACTATTAATATCCTTTGGAATCAAGACTAAAAATGCGTTTGAACATACTGCTGCTCCCCCACCTAAAAGCGTGCCCCATGCTGTCCCACTTGGGCTGCAGAGCTTTAATCTGCTGATAGACCCGTATTTCCTTTTCCCACCAACTACCAACGCCTGTGGCGGCACAGTGAGCAGAGGGGCCTGCTTGCTCAGCGGGTCTGGCGGGGCAAGTGGGGAGCGGAGGCAGGACAGGAGACCTTCACAGAGGAGGGGCTTCGGCTTTCCAACCCTGTTGTCTTCAGGTTGTAACTCAGTGGTGGAAACTCAGTAAGGAATCAAATTATCATAAAGGGACATATTCAAGCACAGTCATGTAATTAAAAACTCCTCCCATAACAAATACATTTAACAGAAAGTAAAAACACTGAAGCCTCTTGGATAACACATCATTTAACGCAGCTATTGTAGAAAGTGGGAAACAAGGTCTGACAGATTTCTTGTGGGAAGAATAAGTTCGAGGGAATAAAGGTGAAAGTATTAGGTCTGCGAGCACCAACCATTTCCCAATCCCCCCACCCTTTATCACCTACAGACCAACTCAACATGGACTGACACGAGCTGCTTTCCAACGGTGGCAGTAGCAGACCTGGCGTGGCCACAGCTCCGGTATCACAGGCCAAGGACAAGGCAGGAGACAGGACAAGATCTAAAACCTGAAGCTTTAGAAGACCCACCTCATAAGGGTGCAAGCAGACTCTTACACGGGATAGTCCCCAAAATTAATTTCGAAAGACTAATTTTTTGAAAATTAGTTTCAAAAGATCCATGCTCCTGCAGCCGAACTGATCTCCGGTTTGCATTCCCTGGTGGGAGAGCTCATCGGGCTCCCGAGCTCACAGATCCTCGGCCAGGTCTGCGGGGAACACGTGAAAGTGACCCAAGCTGACGAGTGCCCCTTGGTCTGAAGTTGAGACAGCCAGGTGGCTCTGTGTGCGCACACGTCCTGCACACACACCACCTGCTCCCAAGAGCAGTCGGCACAGAGGATGCCTCCACCCCAAGGGAAAGAGGGAACACTGCCTTCTCACCACTTAAAAAGAAATCTTTTTAAAAACCACAAAATAAACAAATAGGAAGTAAACTCAGCTTCTCTCTTGTTGAATCCACTAATTAGTAAGTATTCTGGGCTTCCCTGGTGGCGCAGTGGTTAAGAATCTGCCTGCCAGTGCAGGGCACACAGGTTTGAGCCCTGGTCTGGGAAGATCCCACATGCCGCGGAGCAACTAAGCCCGTGCACCACAGCTACTGACCCTGCGCTCTAGAGCCTGTGAGCCACAACTGCTGAGCCCGCGAGCCACAGCTACTGAAGCCCATGAGCCTAGAACCCATGCTCCGCAACAAGAGAAGCCACTGCAATGAGAAGCCCGTGCACCGCAACAAAGAGTAGCCCCCGCTCGCCACAACTAGAGAAAGCTGGCGTGCAGCAATGAAGACCCAAGGCAGACAAAAACAAATAAATAAATGTATATAAAAAAAGAAAAAAAATTAACAAGTATTCTATGTGAAACGATTTTATGATGGGACAAGTATCTGGACAAGTATAAATAAAAACAAACCAATTCCAAAAGGCTTCCAAAAAGATTCTGGATTCCATTGGCTGAATCTTTCTATAGCAGATAAACTGATAAAATGATTTTGTCTGAATTCCCCTTGGGATGGAGCGTCCCCGCCAGAGGCGCACACTGGCTGCAGGGCCGTGTTACCGAGGGGCTGGCACTCAGGCACCAGGGCTCTCGGAAAGCACACGGGCTCCTGCAGCCTCCTGCCCGGTGACAGGGAACAATTCTGAGGGTCATGTGTTTTTGATCTTTTTATCACCAGCAGATTCTTTACACCCACGTGTGTATGTGTGTACTGAGAGCCCTTTCCCCTTGTTCCTTCTAAGCCTACTACATCCAAATTCTGATCGTTATAACTAAAAAATGATTTTGGATTTTCTTTTCTTATTGATAAAATTCCCACATGCTCTATCACCGAAAGAATAACTTTAAGAGTTATCTCCTAAGACTGATGAAAAGAACTAAGGGAATATGGCAGGAGTATCTAATTTGTCTCAACAGAAGTCATAACGTAGGCTTTTTTTGATCACAAGATCAAGAATGAGCTTCCTCAACTTTATTCACAGCTATTGTTTACTGCAAGCAATCCCTCATAATGTTCCAATTCCAAGTAATAACTCTGGAGAAATTAAAGCTGACTTACTTTGCTTTCACTTCTAGCCATGCTGGAGTAACAAGGGCTGGATTTAACCTCTGGTCGTGAACAACTAGAAAACTGTGGGGCGGGGGTGGGGGTGGGGGTGGGGGAATATCTAAACAAGCATTTCATAGGCAGCACAAGACTGTGATCCCTAAGGGAAGGGGAAGGGAACAGGTGGGGAGCCCACAACTGCTCTGGATTTCTGCCTGCCATTTCTAGACAAGAGAGGTCAAGGGAGGAGGAACTGAAGCAAAGCTCAGTGGGCTTTCGGAGTTGGAAAGATGAAGTTCAGGGCAGCGGGGGTGAGTGGATGATACATGGAAGAGTTCTGGAAAGGAGGGAGGAACTACGTGGGAAAAAAGCTCCCAGAATCCACATAAGAGTCTTCCTAAGTCATGCTCATGTCCAGTGAACTTCACAGCCAGGCAAAGAGCAGCCAGGGAGTAGTAAGGCCAAGGGTTCCCAGGAATCACACGGGGTGGGGGGTGGGGGAGCAGTCCTCCTGAGTGACCCCAGGCCATTCAGGAGTGGCCTCAAGTCTCCCTAGAAGGCAGGCTACTGCTCCAGCAACTAACCACAGGCCTTGGATGAATCAAACTTATTTGCAAGTAACAGGTAAAACAAAGTCGCACACTCTTTAAAGGAAGAGAACAAAACCCAGACACTCAACACTGAACATTCCCAGTGTCTGAGAAACAATGAAACACGATTAACCAGGCTAAAAGGGGAAGGAGAATCAGAACCAGAAACCAGGGAGAAAACTAGTCAAGAGTAACAGAGCCACAAATGACAGAGAGAGAATTAACCTATAAGGACAATGTTCAAGTAAAGGAAAACGTGAAATAATGAAGAAAGAAAGGGAAGATATTTAAAAGAACCAAATGGAACTTCTAGAGATGAAAACGTACATGAAACTTTTGGCTTAGACGCTGAAGATAAAAGATCAGAGAAGTTGAAGGCATAACAATTAACTCTACAGTGGAGCACAGAGTGGAGAAACTGGGGTGGGGAACAGGTCCTCAGTGATCTACAGGATAATCCACTGGCTTAACATACATGCAGTTGGGATTCCAGAAAAGGAAGCAGAGCAGAAAGATATCTGACAAAATGATAGCCAAAAATTTTGCAAATTTGATGGAAATTTCCAGAATTTGATAAAATTGATGCAAGAAGCTTGACAAACCCCAGGCAGGATAAATTTGAACTGTTCAAGATGATGTAATTCATTACAGTCAGTCTCAAGTATAATTTCTAACTGTTTTAAGCCTGTTAGCATGTCAACGAGTGGTAGTGAATCACATAAGGGCAAGGAAGGGGTGTGGAAAGGGTTTTCACAGATCATGTGTCATCCTACTCATTAAAGAAAGGAAGTATTTTGTTGAAACTCAGGTGGGTTGCACTTCAGGGTCAGGCCCTGGCTATATCTGCTTAGAGGGCTACACGGTACCACAATGTACAGAATCAAACAGTTCTGCTCTTTCCGGTGTTTATTCTAGAGTTTGGTGGGCTGGGTGGAGAATGGAACAGGACAAGAAGCAGCCACACTGACAGTTATGGAATCCCTTCATTTAGTGCAAATGTATCATTTGATTTTAGTGCTTATGATGGACATTCATTCATATTATTAATAGAACTACAGAAAAAATATCTCTACTCCAGTACTTAGAAGAATAATATGAAATACTTTGAAATAATCTTTAGAGGTATTTGAACTTAATAAGAAGTAAGGTATTTCTATTACCTTATTTGCATTTCTTTTATCTATTATTGAGGTTGTAAGTAACCAGTGACTAACAGCATCTAATTGGTACACAAATGCATTATAACCAACATGTTTTGTATCTCATATAGGTAAACAAACAAAAGATAAATGTCAACCTCAGGAAGAAATGTAACACAGTTACAATGTGAGATGCCTTAGCGTAGAAAAAATGATTAGCAACTAATTTATGGGTAATAAACAAACAACTCTTTTCAAACCAAATTTTAAAATTCATTAAAAAGGTGTCTACTATTTTTCTGTACTGACTACAGAGATTCACTTTCGTTGCAACCTTCATCCTAAAGACGTTCTCAAATAATTTTTTCTGTGGCGTATCTTTAAAAATTCAACCACAGAAATGTGTTGAATAACACTGACCTGTGCCCAATGAAATGACTTACTAAAAAATCAAATGGCATTTCTTTAATGTACAATGTAAAATTCATTTTAATTATCTAAATTTAATTACTGGGTAGTTGCTTAAGTAGAAGGGATGATGGCTGGTAATACCCAGCAGCAGTAACACAGGTAATTATGGAATTTTCCAAGAGAAAAATGCTGGCTATTACACGAGTACAAATTTAAAAGATACAAGTGGGAGGGAGACACTCACCATCATCTCGACCAGGCTGAAAGCTGCTACCCCTCTTCAGAGACGCCGTCTGGCCTAGATGACCCGGCAAGGAGGCACGCACGTCGCCGTCCAGGTCCAGCGTGGCGCTGTGAAGGCCCGGTGGCCCTGGAAGAGAGAAGCAGCGTTTCCATGGACTCACAGAGCTTACTAAGTGATTTAATGGACCTCTTCTCTGAGAGATTTCTTGCTCAACCGTTCCATTCTTTTTTTTAAAGAAGACATCTACTAAAGTAAAACCAGAAATATTTTCTCTAAATAGCTTTTAAAAGTCACTCCCACCATACAGATTTGGAGGATTAAATCTATTACTCTGGCTTAATACAGACATGTAACTTACATATCATTTCAGAATGAATGTTCAGCAAAACGGAGGGGAGGGGGTTCCATAAACATAAAAATCAGGATGAAAAATTCTTTTTTGAAAAGCAACTTGGCACTTGGAAAGGAGGGTACAGGGTTTAATGGAGCAGACTTAACAGCATAAATCTTTGACTTCCCCCTTAAAATTTAAATCTCCAAATACCACAACTTCTTTCTTTGCAATGTGGGATGTGATTTCTTATTTCTATTCCCACTGCCAGCCACCTAGTTGGGACCCTTTTCACCCCACACTTAATATTCTAGAAGCCTAACACTTCACTAGAGAATGTCAAGACATTCTCTTTATTGTCCTGGATTAATACCACCAAAATACTGCTATCTTGATTCTCTTCTCAGAAGTCTTCCAGAAAACCCTCAGAATTCCAACCCAAATTATCTAAGAACCAGGAAACACTTTTTCTAAGATGGTTCTCCAGAGTCACCAGGAATGGAATCCCGTGTTGCTAATCCTGTTAGTGAGAGGCTGGCATTATGGGTAGAATTCGCCTTGTCAGCCTGCAGAGTTGCTATAACCAGCACTCTGAGCTCTGCGGCTGAGCATTCAAAGACCTCCAAAACAAGCTGAATTCAATAAACATTTACAGGGTGCTTACGGTGCAGAGGACACTATGAAAATGCATCTTTCATTTTCCTGCCTCACTTCCTACCCTTTTCATCATCCTCCCCATCCTGTTAATAAACACAAGTCGCCTCCTGCTGTCCCAGCTCAAAGTGCTGCCTACTTTCCCTGCCCTCCGAATGAACACCGTCTCATTGACTCAACATTCTGCCTTCTGCTGTTCATTAACAGTTCCAATCAGAACTTCTCGGGGATAAGGATCAATATTAAGTCTCTGTCCACAGCTGGATCTTCTGCATATAATTCCTTCAATATACACTGAGTGACTGATACTAAATTATTCAATAAGAATGCTCTTCCTTTGTTTTATAACTTAACAGAATATGAAAAGCGTATAGATTTGTTTCCAAGGGCAAAAGATGAAACCCATTTATAAAATAATGATTTTATGCCAATGATAGTGTCAGTTATTCAGTAGCATCAAACAAGTCTTTACTGAGCCCTCCCATGTGCCAGGAATTGCAGGCCCCTGGGATATGGCGGTGGGTTAACAGGTAAAGGCCTGTCCTCAAGGTGTTTACATCCTGGCAGTGGAGGCAGAAAATCAAGACATAAGTGAATACAATATAAGCAAAGAGTCTGCTTTCATGGCTCCTCCCATCATGAGCCACTCAGCATGATACGGTATGAGCTATCTCCCCGCCTCCTCACAGATTCTACCAGGCAGGTTTTACAGAAATAGAAACCAAGTCATTTGAACAGATATTTTCAGTGGAACGGCATTTTATTAAATACCCATGATGTTTCACCTACTATGCTAAATGCTTTATTTACATGCACTTCTACTTTGGAACACATTAAATCTAGGATAAGACTTGTAGAATTCAATATTTTAAAATAGCAAGAAAAATGAGAGTAAGAAAACACAAAGATGGAGAAATAATGTTTTTTATAATTGATTTTTTCCCCATCTCAAAGAGGGATTTGTGTGCAAGCTTTGAAGATTTATGACATTTTCCTCTGAAGTTTACAGAGTCACCACTGCTATTAATTGTAGCATTCAAGAAATTAATATCAAAATATCAATTTTCTGACATATTTTAAAAGGAAATGTAGGGACTTCCCTGGTAGCGCAGTGGTTGGGAATCTGCCTGCCAATGCAGGGGACACAAGTTCCAGCCCTGGTCTGGGAGGATCCCACATGCCACGGAGCAACTAAGCCTGTGGCCACAGCTACTGAGCCCGCATGCCACAACTACTGAAGCCCATGCACCTAGAGCCAGCGCTCCACAAGAGAAGCCCGCGCACCGCAATGAAGAAGAGCCCCCACTCGCCACAACTAGAGAAAGCCCGCGCACAGCGACAAAGACCCAACGCAGCCAAAAAAAAATAGATCAATTTATATAAAAAAGGAAATGTAAAAAAGCCCAAACTTGGCACCATATTAAGTATTTGTATAAAATGTGTAATTTATGTAAACATGTATATTGAAAGGTGCAAGAAGAGAATGCTTTAATTCAAAACGTTATAAGTTACTACCCTTGAAGGTTTCAGGACTATAAATTTTTGATTAGAAGGAAAACCTCCTAGTTTCCTGAATACACACTGTATACCATTCCTACAAAAATATACAATGATCATTAAGTAGATCCTCAGAAAAAGTTTTTCCCCGTAACTGGTGTGTTTACAGCATTAATTTAAATGCATGATATTAAGTCCTGTATAGTTTAATTTAAATAAACTTGAATTTTGAAACTGTTAAAAGACTGATTTATTTTTCCCTTTAATGGCAGAAACTATTAAGAACATGCGTTCCTTCTATTAGAAACCATATCATCATTTTCTACGATATCAGGAAAAGAAAGCTTACCAAGAACTAATTTCTTATTTGGAAGTGTCTGTCGAATGGCAGCAAGGACAGCACAGTAGCAGGGAGAGGACGGCCCCCAGACCCTGGGGACAGACGCGTCTGTGGGCGTGCTGGGCCGAGGGTCCGGCAGGTGGTGCCCTGCACAGCCCGGGGACCAGCCCTGCAGTGGGAGCCCGGGCCTGAGCCCAGAACTCGCTCTCCTCTAACAGACTGCTCCTTTCTCTGGTCAGAGAAAGTCTTGCAATGAGTAATCTTATGGGGAATTAGGAGGATTGTCCTTTGAGGAGAAAATTAATGAAAACATTTAAAATCTCAGTTGTCAGAAATTATTTACTATCAAGTGTCAAGAAAAAAAAAAAAACTTGAGGATTCTGACACTCCTTTTAAACTTAAATTACATGACGATATTTATACCCCACAAAATTATTACAAATATGAAGTGCTTCTGATGATAAACAAACATTATTATAAAAGAAAGAAAAAGATGAAAAAAAGTTTCTGTAACATAAAATCAGCAAAAGGTTTTAAAATATAAGAAATCCGTTCATTTGCTCTTGACTGTTTTACCTCACAATACGATAGCAGTATCTCTTGATATGTTTAAGAGAAATGTTATATAAAATATACTGTTATAAATGAGAGTAACTAGGAAGTTTCATAATATCATGCTCTTATTTATGTGCAGACCATACACAAATGAAAATTATGTTACTTCGTATATTTTCCCTGAAAACACTAAATTATCTGCCCTGATATCCACCTAAGGATGGTGTTCAATACATATATACACAGGACTTGGGTTTTTCATTAGAAGCTCAGTTTGCACTAAGATGTTCTGCAGGTGACACAGCCTAAAGTTTTTGTAAAATTGTGTTTGACTTTGTCTTTTTCTAACCTAAAACTGCATTAATGAGTTATGGGAGGTCATTTGTTTTCTTGAGAGTAGATTTTCTCTAGAAATGAACTGCTCCTACGATTTTATCCCTGACGAAAGTTTTTCTCAAATAGGATCACAGCCCAGCTTTCCCTCATCTGTGCTCACGCTGACAACTGCTCCCTATCCCAGGGGCCCCCACTCTGTGGCAGAAGGAGTCACAGGCGGCATATGCTTCTTCACCTGTAAAAATCAGGGCTTGAACTACACAAGCCTTAGTGTCTTTTTTAGCTCTAAAATTCTGATTCTATGATACAAAATCTGAATTTGAAACTTTGAACCACCGCTTATTCCGCTCCCTGGAATAGTTTGAGACAACTGAGGGTGATGATTAGCAGTGCTGTTTAAATGTATAAACAGTCTCTGCCTCTACACAGAGAGCACACGTGAGCGTTAAGTCGTAAAAGGAAATTTCATCAAGAAAATATTAAAGGCGACAAAAACAGTAACAGGGAAAACGTCACTAGGATTTCATACTTGTTATTGTGGACCTTACAGCTTGGCTATTTTAGAGGCACCAAGCAGAGTAACCAATAAATACCCTCAAATGACAGTGTGCTGATAAGATCAAGATTACTTGGCTGCAATCTGTCCAAGTTATCTGAGGAATAACTATGGGGAAAGATTGCTCTCCTGACAAAACTTCACACAGCAACACTTCCATCAGTACAGTATTTCCAGTCCTAAAATTCTATATGGTGTTTGTAGGGGGAAAAAAAAAAAAAAAAAGGATACTAAAAAAATTCTAGAACTAAATAATCCTAGGGTATAGCTGTATCTTCTAAATTCCATGAACTAATATTTGAGTTTTTACCAATACATCAAAGAAAACATATATATCTTATCTACATATGCTTGGAAGAAGCATCTTGGAAGAAAAACTCTTTTAAACACTTAAAATTTTTTAAAAAATGACTAAACTTCTTAATTACTGACACTTGATAGAAGAAACGTTCACATGTTGAGGTCTGGGGAAGACATTCTGGCTTATACACGCGTTAACTTGCATTTTATACTAACTGGAACAGCCTGTTTGTGGCTGTTCAATCAAACATACATTGTACGTCTGCTTTAATTATTACAGAAAAGGGCACAGTGGCCAGAAGTAAAGAATGTCCACGCTAAAAGTAAAGATAAAATGCCTGTCTCCCTGGGCCACCAATGCTGGTCCTTCTTGAATGGTGAGATTCCCTTCCCAGGTGCCAAGGCCACACTGACTCGCCGTGTACATGCTGGTCTGTATCCCTGACGTGTTTGATGTTCTTTCTTCTGACAAGATATAAAACTGTGCTGAAAACCATGCTTCTCTGGAACAGTTCCTCAGAGTTATCTGAGAGGCTGTCTTCTGGGCTACAGTCCTC